CATGCAACAAAAGCACTATTCACATTCTTCTTCAGTGCACATGGATCCTTTTCCAGAACAGACCATATGTTAGGACATAAAACAAGCCTCAATAAATTCAAAAGCATTGAGATACTACAAAGCATCTTCTTTGTAGTTCTTTTCCTTCAGTGTTTTATGACTACAATGCTATAAAATAAGAAAGTAATAATAGGAAGAGCAAGAAAAAAGCATCAAACATATGGAAGCTGAACAATTTACTGCTCAAAAAATACTGAGTAATAGAACAGATAAAAACTGAGATAAAAAATTTCCTAGAAACAAATGAGAATGGAGATACATCATACCAAAACCTATGGGACACAGTGAAAACAGTACTCAGAAGACAGTTTAAAACAATAAATGTATACATCAAAAAAGAAGAAAGAAACAAAATCAACACTCTAACTCATCAACTCCACCAACTAGAAATAGAACAACAAAAGAATCCTACAGTATCTAGAAGCAAGGAAATAATAAAGATCAGAGCAAAAATAAATGAAACAGGAAACAAACTAACAAAAGGAAAACATAGAGAAAATCAACAAAACAAAAAGCTGGTTCTTCGAAAAGATTAATAAAATTGATAAACCATTGACAGACCTAACAAAAGAAAAGAAAGAGAAGATCCAAATCACAAGATTTGTAAACGAAAATGGTGTTTTCACAACAGAACCAACTGAAATAAAAAAGATACTGACAGAATATTATGAAAAACAGATTTGAGAAACTAGAAGAGATGGACAAGTTTCTAGAATCACAAGACCTACTTAAACTATTCCACTCAGAGATAGAATACTTGAACAGACCTATAACAAAAGAAGAAATTGAGCAGGACATAAAACAAGCTTCCCACAAAGAAAAGCCCTGGCCCTGATGGCTTCTCTGGAGAATTCTATCAAATATTCAGAGTTGACACCTCTACAACTCAAGCTATTGCAGAGCATAGAAAATGATGGAATACTCCAAAATGCGTTTTATGAAGCAAGCATAATACTAATACCCAAACCAGGGAAAGACACCACTAGAAAGGAAAACTACCGACCAATATCCCTCATGAACATAGATGCAAAAATCTTTAACAAAATCCTAGCCAACAGAATCCAACAACATATCAAAAAATCAATACACCTGGACCAAGTAGGATTCATACCAGGTTTACAAGGGTGGTTCAACATCAGAAAAACAATAAACGTAATCCACCACATAAACAAAAGAAAAAAAAAAACCATATGATTATATCAATTGATGCAGAAAAGGCATTTGATAAAATCCAACATCCATTCCTGTTCAGAACTCTCAGCAAAATAGGGATAGAAGGGAAATTTCTCAACATAATAAAAAGTATATATGCAAAGTGAATGGCCAACATAATTATTTATGGTGAAAGACTCAAGGCATTACCCTTATGAATGGGAACCAGACAGGGATGTCCTCTATTACCACTTCTATTTAACATTGTATTGGAAGTTCTGGCCAGAGCAATAAGGCAAGAAAGAGAAATAAAAGGCATGCAAATTGGCAAAGAGGAAGTAAAACTATCTCTATTTTCAGATGATATGATCCTGTATGTAGAAAATGCATGAGACTCAATACAAAAACTACTGGAACTAATAAGGAGGTTCAGCAAAGTGGTAGGGAACAAGGTCAACATACAAAAATCAGTTGGATTCTTCTACACCAACAGAGTCCTCTGATAAAGAAATAAGGGAAACAACCCATTTACTATAGCTACTAAAAAGATGAAATATCTAGGAATAAACCTCACCAGAGACACAAAAGACCTCTACAAAGAAAACTGTGAAATACTGCCACAAGAGACAACAAGGGCACTACATACATGGAAGAACCTACCTTGTTCATGGATAGGTAGACTGAATATTGTGAAAATGTCAACATTACCTAAAGCAATCTATAATTTAATGCAATCCCAATCCAGATTTCCACAAAATTTTTTAAGGACATGGAAAAAATAATTACTAATTTCACATGGAAAGGAAAGAGACCTTGGATAAGCACAGCACTTCTCAAGAAGAAAAACAGAGCGGGAGGTCTCACACTTCCAGATCTTAAAAACTACTATACTGCCACAGTAGTCAAAACAGCATGGTATTGGTACACTGATAGACAGATAGACCAATGGAACAGAATCAAAAGTTCAGATATGGACCCATCCATCTATGGACAAGGGAGCTCTGATAGCATAGTGCCTAAGGCACTTGACTGCTAACCAGGAGGCTGGCGGTTCAAATCCACCAGCCACTCCTCGGAAGGAAGGTTGGGCAATCCTACTTCCGTAGTGATAACTGCCTCAGAAACCCAAGGAGGGGTCGCTATGAGTCGGGGCCGACTCGACGGCAAACAACAACAACAACAACATCTATGGACAACTGCTCTTTGACAAAGGTCCAAAATCCATTAAATGGGGAAAGAGACAGCCTCTTTAACAAATGGTGCTGGCAAAACTGGATATCCACCTGTAGAAAAATTAAACAAAACCATACCTCACCTCATACACAAAAACAAACTCAAGCTGGATCAAAGACTTAAATGTAAAACCCCAAACTATAAAACCAAAGATAAAATAGGGGCAAATCTGGAAGCCCTAATTTATGGCATAATAGACTATCAAGCATAACCTAGAATGTGCAGGAGGTAGAAGAGAACCTAGGTGACTGGGTCCTTTTAAAAATTCAATTCTTAAGCCATTGAAAGACGTCATAAAAAGGGTAAAAAGAGAACCTACAGATTGGGAGAAAATATTTATTTGCCTATGACATATGTGATAAAGGACTTATCTCCAAAATCTATAGAAAACTTCAACACCTCAACCAAAAAGACAAATAACCCAATTCACAAATGGGCGAAAGACTTGAACAGACACTTCAACAAAGAAAATATACAGGCAACCAACAAACACATGAGAAATTGCTCGCAATCATTAATCATTAGACAGATGTAAATCAAAACAACAATGAGATATCATCTCATCTCAGCAATAACAGCAAAGTTCAATAACAGCAAAGTTCAACAGGTCAGAAAATAATAAATGCTGGCAAGGTTGCAGAGAGAATAGAACTCTTGTACGCTGCTGGTGGGATTGTAAAATGGTACAGCCATTGTGGCAAACGGTATGGCATTTCCTTAAAAAACTGAAAATAGAAGTACCATTTGACCCAGCAATTCCATTACTAAAGAGGTGAGAGATAGCGCATGAACAGATATATGTATACCTATGTTCATCGCAGCACAATTCATTATAGCAAAGAGATGGAAACAACCTAAATGCCCATCAACAGATGAGTGGATAACCAGATTGTAGTATATGCACACAATGGAATACTATGGTACATTAAAGAACAATGAGGGATATGTGAATCATCTCACAACATGGATGAACCTGGAGGACATTATGCTGAGTGAAATAAGTCAATTGCAGAAAGACAAGTACTGTAGGAGTGCATTACTGTAAAAAGACAGAGAAGGGTTTGCTTGGGAAAGGGAACACACTTAGTAGGTTATCAGAATGGGGAGGAAGGGGAGGGATTAATTTCAGGCTAGTTGGGGCCTACATGACGATGTGCGTAAGGGGAGGGATTTATGGGAAGGATCTGTGACCACCATGATAACATTGGGAAATGGGAGGACACCGAATTGTGCACATAAGAGATAGACAACAAATGCTAATACCAACCAATGTGTCCACAATACTGCATTGCCATTAACACCAAATACTAGGCTACAGATAAACACATAAACACCTGAGATGATCAGACCGGGGTCAATGAACAGAAGTATACTCTAGACCAAGGATAGATTCAGCTGTGGCTAATCTTGTACAGACACAAAACACCTGTAGTCCTTATAGAAACAATAGAAGAAAGACACAGAGTAATCCCTCACAGATAACCAGACACTATGTGAGAGAGATTCAATAGAGCTACCATCTCAGGACCATAGTACTGGGGGACACCAGACTCAATTGGCACAACAAAATACATAAAAGCCTTGCTCCACATCCTGCATTGGTGAGTAGCAACTGAGGCCTTAAAAGCTTTCAAGTGGCCATCTAAGATGCAGCCAACTGTCCCCTAGCATTTGAAGCAAAGAAGAACGCAAAAAACAAAACAAAACAAAAAAAACCAAGGCCATTTAGAAGCAATCAGCCATAGGACACGATGGCCCTCGAGACCAGAAGAACTAGATGGTGCCCAGCTACCAATGCCAACCACTCAGGAAAGGATCAAATCTGGAGATCCTGGGCAGAATGGGAGGGAAAACATGGAACAAAATCCAAAAACTCAATAATGACTAGAATTACTGGTCAGATGAAATCTGGTGAGACCCCAATACTATGGCCCTGGAATACATTCTGCACGTGGAATAAAATGCACCTCCAGGGGCTGGCTCTCAGCCCAATAGTTAACAAGATGTACATGCAGACCACTCAACTCAGGATGATGCACCCACATACTGTATAGTAGTAATACATCCCTTAGAGCAATAGACCACGGGACACCAGAGGACCAAGTTGAGGAAATGCAGGACAAACTGGAGTGCATAAATATGAGGGGCACAGGGGGAGGGTTACAGGGTAGGGAGGGGAGGAGAATGGGTTAGGGTTGAACATGGTAAATGGGGAATGAAACTAAATGTACACATAATGTTGAATGTGAAACAAGCTCTTAAAATTTAAATAAATAAATATTCAGCATTGGCTTTGGAGTAAGGCCTGCTTTACCTGAAGATGAGTGTTAACATTTCACCTTCTCTATCAGATGTGTTTTCGGAGGAGGTGTAAAAGGATGGGAAGAATATAGGACACAGATGTCTGGGTAGAGGTTTGGGGAGCTGGAGATATCACTCACAAACTCACCTTCTTCCAAATTATCTGAACTCTTGACTACTCAGTATATTAGAACTTAGCAGAGTATTTTTAAAAAATTGTAAACAATTCACCTGGGATGCTAAACTGTACTTACTAATGCATGCCAACAGAAATGGTCCATCTCTCTTAGTGGGAAATAGGCAGGTGTTGAAATACTCCACAAAAGGCGCCAGGATTAACAATGGTAGGATGCTGATTACATTCATTACTGCAACTGGCAGAAGAAATCCATTCAAATTCAGGTTGGAATTCATGGTCTGCAGATAATACCCTGAAGGAATCTGTATTTGAGAGGAAAAGCAGCCATTCATTAAGACAGTGGTTTAACATTAGAGAAAGCCTCCTGTGACAGACACCTTGCCTGATGCTTGGATCTGTGACTGATGAGCTAGATGCTTCCTAGCTTTTCAAGTCCCACATCTGAGCTGATAAAATCTCTTTATCTGTAGCATTAAGAGTTCTGTTAGTCTGTTGGCAATACCATGGAGGGATTTTTTTTTTTTTTTTGGTCCTGTAGCCTATCTTCTAACTGTTCCTATAGAAAGTAAAGGTGGCCCAAATTTTATGTTTAGGATGACACTTAAGAAAGCAAGTAACTTAAGCTTCTTATATAAACAAACAGATTTTTTCATGAACAATACAGTCAAAACCAGTAGAAAGCATTAAGGATGTTTTGGGCTAAATGCACCAAAAAAAAAAAAAAAAGAAGAAGAAGAAGAAGAAAAGGTTTTTGGCTAGAACAGATCCTTCAAACAGTATCTACTTCAGTGGCAAAAAGATTAGAATCCCTTTTTTCCCTAAGAACATGGGTTCAGTGAGGAGAACACATTGCTTGTTGTAATGTGTCTTTGTGGCCTCCTTGAACTGTCCCATTTCTAATGTGAGTCAAGTAATATGGGGGAGAAAAATAATGAGAGAGAGAAAAAACATTCTTGGGTCTGTGATCTCCTTTTAAACTAATTCTGTGGTACTAATGGACCATTTTCAAGCTCTGGTGGCATAAAGCCTAAAACATTTGACTGCTAACCAGAAAGCTGGTGGTTCAAACCCACTAGCCACTCTTTGGAAGGAAGATTGAGCAATCTACTTCCATAGAGATGCCACCTCAGAAACCCAAGGAGGGGTCGTTATGAGTTGGGATTGACTTGATGGCAGTGAGTTTGATTTTTTTTTGGTTTAGTGGACGATTTTGAGAAAAATAGTTAAAAAATGGTTGCAGCAGTACATTGACAGGAAACTGCCAGAAATGAAGGCCAGATCAGAAGATGACATGGAACAAGGGATATTATTGTTGATGTCAGAAGCATTTTGGCTGAAAGCAGAGAATACCAAAAGATGTTTACCTGTATTTTATTGAGTATACAAATTATGTACGGCTCATAGCAAATTATGAATAACATTGTGAAGAATGGGAATTCCAGAGTTGTGCTCATGAGGTATAACTTGCATATAGACCAAGAGGCAGTGGATCAAACAAGGGGATTCTGCACGGTTTAAAATTAGGAAATGTGTGTATCAGGGTTGTATCCTTTCACCATATTTATTCAATCTGTATGCTGAGGAAAAGGTCCAAGAAGCTGGACTATATGAAGGAGAACATGGTATCAGGATCAGAAGAAGACTCATTAACAACCTGTGATATGCAGATGACACAACCTTGGTTGCTGAAAGTGAAGAGGACTTAAAGCACTTACTGATGAAAATCAAAAACTACAGCTTCAGTATGGATTATACCTCAACATAAAGAAAACAAAAATACTTACAACTGGACCAATTAGCAACATCATGATAAATGGAAAAAAAATTGAAGTTGTCAATTTCATTTTACTTGAATTTACAATCAAAATCCATGGAAGCAGCAGTCAAGAAATCAAATGACCTATCGCATTGGGCAAATCTGCTGCAAAAGACCTCTTCAAAGTGTTAAAAAGGTAAGATATCACTTTGAAGATTAAGGTGTGCCTGACCCAAGTAATGGAGTTTTCAATGCCTTTGTATACAGGTGAAATCTGAACAATGAATAAGGAAGACCAAAGGAGAACTGTTACATTTAAATTATGGTATTAGTGAAGAATATTGAATGTAACATGGGCTGCCAGGAGAATGAACAAATCTATTTTGGAAGAAGTACAGCCAGAATGCTCCTTAGCAGGGAGCATAGTGAGAGTTTGTTCCTCATACTTTGGTCATGTTACCTGGGGGGACGAGTCCCTAGAGAAGGACATCATGCTTGGTGAAGTGGAGAGTTAGTGAAAAAGAGGAAGACCTGCAAGGAGATGGATTCACTCAGTGGCTGCAACAATGGGTTCAACTATAGCAATGAATGTGAGGATGGCACAGGACTGGGCAGTGTTTCATTCTGTTGTACATGGGGTTGTTATGAGTAAAAACTGACTCGATGGCACCTAACAACACCACCCATCTGTCAGTCTGTTGTTCTGTGGTGCCTTGCATATTGCCATGATGTTGGAAGCTGTGCCACTGGCATTTCAAACACTAGCAGGGTCACCCATGATGGACATACTTCTATGGGGCTTCCAGAATAACACTGACCAGGAAGAAAGGACTTGTGATCTACTTTTGAAAATTAGTCAATGAGAACCTTATGGGTCACAACAGAATATTGTCTGATGTAATGCTGTAAGCTGAACCCCTAGGTTGGAAAGCACTCAAAATACAGTGACTGAAACAGAAGACATTAGCATACTAATGTCTTTGAAGATGGTTGCAAGACCAGGCAAAATTTTGTTCTGTTGTATAAGAAGTTGCCCATGAGTTAGAGCTGATTTGACGGCAACTGACAAAAGTAGACCACAAAGGGAGCTACATGAAAAGAGATTTATAGAACAAATAACTGATAAATATTTTTTTAAAAATTTCTTCCCCCAAGACCCTCAATGTATTGTTAGAGTTTCTTCACTTTTAGAAATAAATCCAACATTAACTGACACTCTGACTCTAACATGAAGCCTCTTTATATGTTCCAAGCTCTGGTAGCGTAGTGGCTAAGACACTTGCCTGCTAACCAGACGGCTGGCGGTTCAAACCCACCAGCCACTCCTCGGAAGGAAGGTTGGGCAATCCTACTTCCGTAGTGATACTGCCTCGGAAACCCAAGGAGGGGTCGCTATGAGTCGGGGCCGACTCGACGGCACATAACAACAACAACAACAAAGCCCCTTTTAGGTTATAATATAATCAGGACTAAGACACAGTGTCACAAGAAAGAGAGCATGCCCTCACTGCTTTAGTTCAGAAACTTTGTTATAGTCATCTCATCATCATCATTAGCATAGCAGCATGTAACATTTCCTTAATCCCAGTGGCACACAAAGTTACTAAGTGGAAAGGAGACAGTCAAACTTTGTCTTCTCCTTCATAAAAGGATTCTCCAAACTATTTTTCTTACAGTGTATGAACTCATTAGGATTCTTGCCTCACCACCATCCCAGGAGAGCATCCCTGCTCAAGCATCCAGATGATGACCTCTCATTTAAAACCTTCACTAACTCCTTCTACTATAACAAATTGTAATATGTGAGAGAATAAGGAGAATCAGAGTCATGGCAGCAGTTCAGCTGTTACCAAGCCCACCATTTGTAAAATGAGGCTAATGCTATGTTACCTGCTTAAAAGCAGAAATGGACCACTTTTTCACTGAGATTCTTTCTTCCTATAGAACCGGTCCTGGTAATAACTTATCTTCGAATCATTATTTTACCCTTACGATAGTAAACAATGATTGTTTTGGTTGGGTACAGATGGCAAGAATGAAGAGAACATTAGCTAATTCTGCCCTTGTTCAATAAAAATTAATAAGCACATATCTCGCAATCAGGAAAACGATTTTTTTTTTTTTTTTAAATGCTGGCAACAGAACTACTCTAAGGCTGAAAGCCTCTCAGCACTACTTGAAAGTTTCTGTTAACTGATTTCAAATGAGAATTATTGTTAATGGGAATAAAGTTATTATCGGTATGAATCACAGACACAGAAACCTGTTAACTTAATAATGTGGCAAATGTACTATTAATCTTTAGTGAAGCAATATTAATATATTGCCTAGTCTAAGAAAAGACTCCAATGTCTTGAAAGCTTGAAATCATTTCTGCTTCTGCCTCAAGTTCTGAAATCATCCCCTTTTAAAATTTTAAATAATTTTATTTCATACAAGCCTCTGAGTATTCAGAAATAATTGCTGTCAATAGAGATTCATTTTCACCTTTGAGCGGCCAGCAATGACAAATGGCAACATCATCAACCTTAATATCAACATATTTTAAATGTATGTCTTGGAACTGAAGGTCAATAATGGCTACTAAATTTAAAATATGGAATCCTATGATGTTTTATTCTTGGTAGTTTGATCGCCTTTGTACTGCTGATTACTTCATCTAGGGCAAAAATCTAATTCGAGCCTATCCCAATGGAAGTTTCCTCTGACTCCCTAGAGAGGTACAGTCTAGTTATTTTCTTTGAAGTTTCTAGCATAAAATTACTGTACATATATGATACGTGAACTTATATAGCCTCTATTAGGGATTTTTTTTTAACCCAGCCATGAAAGAAGCATTGCAGATAATAGCAAAGCAAAGGCATTCATACCAGGCTTGAGTTGATACCATATACTGGGAAGGTGATCACCATATACCAGCAGAGTAACCATTGGCAAGTTACTTATTGTCTCTGAGCCTCAGAGGTAAGATAATAATATCAGACTTTGTAGGCTTGTGGTGAGGACTAAATTAGATACTGTGAAGTCATCCTTTAGAGTTATGAGACATAATCGCCAAACTCTCACTGCCGTCAAGTCGTTTCCAACTCATAGTGACCCCGCCTCAGTTTTTGAGGCTGTACCTCTATAGAAGTAGATTGCCCAGTCTTCCTTTTAAGGAGTGGCTGGTGGGTTTGAACCACCAGCCTTCTTGTTAGCAGTCAAATGCCTTACGCACTTGGCTACCAGATGAGTTTTTATTCTCTGAAATAAACTGGGCATCTAGATTTGGTGAAACACCTAAAAAAGAATTATCAAAATTTATCTGAATTTATATCAAATAAACAATATATATACAACAGTTTGTGGAAAAGGCTCAAATTCAATCAAAGGAAGTCTCAGCTGTCACTACATTATGAAGATTAGGAATCAATAGTTGGTGCTCTTTGCACAGTGCGTTTGAGTCTAGGTATGGGCTACTTACGAATTTTGTTCTCATTAATTTCCCCATTCTAAGATGTTTTTATGACATTGAAGATCATATATATGGGTAATCTATCTGTTGTATTCTGTGTTTTTTTTGTGCCATCTATTATTGTGGAGTCAGGATGGAGGTGAATCTTCTAAATCAGACTAGCTTTCATGCAGTGGCTAGACCGGTGGTTGGCAACCTTCTGTAAAGTGCTAGATATTAAATATTTCAACATATGATCTCTGTTGTAACTATTCAATTCTGCTGTTGTTGCATGTAATCAGCTATAGATAAGACAGGCAAATGAGCGTGTCATTGTTCCAATAAAACTTTATTTATGGACACTGAGGTTTAAATTTCATATAATTTCATACAATATATTCTTCTGATTTTTTTTTCAACCACATAAAAATGTAAAACAGTCTTAGCTTACAGACCATCCACAAGCAGGCAGTGGGCTGGATTTGATCAAATGAGTAGTGGTGTAGAAAAGTGAGCACTGTACTGAGAATCAGAGGGTAGATGTCTACTCCCCAAAATATTCATTTAATTTTTCTGAGTCTCAGGTTCTTTTAAAAAAAGTGAGGTAGTTGTGTAAGTTAATCTTTAAGTTTCTTTTTAGCTCTGTTATCCTATGATTCATGAATATAACTTACTCATTTGGCCTTCTAAATTCTAAATTGGGATTTAGGAATGGAGAGTCTCAAATTTATTCAAAGACTTTTATAATCCTTTATTTTTCTTCATAAATAAGTTAGTCTTTGACCATAAGCACATTATTTTTCAACAATCATACATATTTCATATATACTTATAAGAAGTACTTTAGATGAGTGCTTTTCCTGTGCTTTCTCTACAGCATAGTTACTGATTCACTGAAGAACTAATAGAGTGGGTGGGAAGAGAATCACTTGCTCATTAGTAGTTCTACTTAAGAGTACAGTGGAGGTGGTACTCAAATCAGTCAATTTAGCTACTTGTTAGCACCACTTTTTAAAGGTTTAATGAAGGAGGAGGACAAACCTTTGGCTAAAGGGAGGTTTTGTAATTGCTTATAGATTTGATGTTTTTGTGCGCTACTCCTGAGCCTCATGACTATGCACTCTGAAGTATTGTCTGTCTTGTGCACCTACTGACAAACAATTTTAGTGCTATGGGAGATCAACAACACAGGCCCAGATTCTTCTCACATACACCTCTGCCTGACCTAGCTTCACTCTTGAGATTGGAGCCTACTTGCATGAGAAAAATACCTGGCAATATGCTCCCGTAAAATGTACAGCCTAGAAAACTCCATGGGGCAGCTTAATTTGTCACATGGGGTCACTATAAATTGAAAATCAACTCAGTTCCTAACAACAACAATGGCTATAACTATTTGTGCAATGATACCCAAGGATGTATGTGAAGGGTTTGTTGGACAATAACTGTTTACTTGTAATATTGACATGCAACCACCTTATTTTTGTTGGCATAATATTAATTGCTTTCCTTACCTGCATAATGCACATTCTGTATAGGAGCTGAAAAATGAAGAGAGGGAAAAGCGTGAGGAAAAATTTTGCACCTTCCACATGGAACTCACTGTAGCAGCCACCATTTTTTTCCTTGGCATGGTCTAACCAGCTTGTCACATCTCTGCCAAGATGGTAATATCGCAGGCAGCACATTTTCAGTGCATTAACAAACACTCCAAAAGTTGTCAGGAGGGAGCAACCTGCAAATAATTGGAGATATTATGTATTAGTAAAAGAATTGTTCTTCAATTTTCCAAGATGCCAAATCAGAGAGATGACAATTGTTATGATGAAGGACAGTAAAATGACTGAGAAGGTTTTAGTATCCAAGGGGTTGAATTCAAAGGAACATGCTTCTGACAAGTGTTCTGGCATCCTGGTGACCAGCTCAAAATGTTGTCTGACAGCTGACATAAAAATGAAAAAGGTAAGATCAATGGGAACATATTAAAATGGGAACAAAGGTGACAAAATAAAACACTAAAGTAAAGGATTTCAGAATCTCTCAGAAGTCTCGAACTTTAACTCATTAATGAATAAAACAGCCTGAACTTTCTTTTACATCCTTAACACAAAGAACTAGTACCATTTTTAAAAAAATATAAATCATTGTATAAATAATCTTCACTTTACTTGGCAGGTAGAGGGTGGTTTCTTATTTTGACATGAAGATGAAAGGAAATGTATTCTCTGCTTTGACTTTATCCTCAGATTTCAGACATAAGGTTAAACTTTGAACTCTTCAAGTGACTTTATACATGTTGATAGTGTCACTAAAAGTTCAGATTGGATTAGTTGGCTTTTGACTTTTTCAGTAGTTTCCTCTAGGTTTATATGGCTGTTGCTTTAATATCAGAAACATTTTATTGCTTCAGATGTTAGCAGTCACTTACTCCTAGTGATTTGCAACCTCATTATTGCTTCTTCTATGATCTTTCAGATTCTACCTTTTCTTTGACTCCATTAGGACTTCCTGATATAATGACACATAGAAGACCCCTGTTTAGTTAGCAGATCAGCTGTACCATCATGATTCTTACAATTTTTTATAGCACTCTGTTTGACCAGATAAATCCTTCCACAGATTGCATAGATACCAAACCATGGTTGAAGAATGAATAGTATAATAAATGCAAAAAGATTTGAGTGTCTCCAAAGAGAGCTGCTATAGAAACTCAAAGTGTAGTCTGATCATCATTTTGATAGTTTTTGAATTTTCCATTGTAAAATTGAGAATGAAATGCATTCTAACTAGACTCATTTAAATGCCATAGATTATTAGTTGTTGTATTTAAATAAAGACTATTTCTTAACATTTCTTTTTATGGTCATAGAGTAGTTATATTGATCTGATCTGATCTTTTCTTTAACATTGTAATAGACCTATTATGTCAGTCTTTGATTAATTGAGGAAGCTGGAAACCTGGTAATTGAATATGGAGCCTTTCACCTCTAAGTCACTGAATCAAATCCAGCCCAAATTGGTAGTGACCAAGAATGATTACATCAGTGTCTCTTTGGCGGCCTCTGTGAAGTGCGTTCAGGTCATGTGGAAGGATCTCGGGATAATTGCTGAAGGGAGATGGGCTCATATCTATAGTCACCATTGCCTCTCCTTAGGTAGACAGACATAGATGAAAAGCCCAGGGATTGGTAAGGCCAAGGGGACAGAAGCCCCTGTGAGTGACCAAGGCTGTGTCTCTTAAGAAACAAGTAATAGGGACATCTCTATTACTGTAGAAAGAACTGCTCTAGTATGAGACTTTCCTAGCTATTTCAATTAGTTTACTTAAGGTTTTAGTAAGATGAGATCTGAGAATGTGTTGATGAGCACGCTAGAGACTGAATTTAAGCAGGCCTGGACTATGAGGTTTAACTTCCTAACATTTTCTTATAATTTGGTCTCTGTGTTTCTTATCAATCTGCTCTCTGTTCAACCCTTGCAAAACAATGCTGTGTAGGATTATTATGAGATTTATGTTTTCAAATAGTACTTATTATTAACAGCTCTATTTGTATGATGAAGGGCTATTTTCAAAGGCATTTTTTTCCCAATTTCCTGAAAATTTTCAAGTATAGGTGCTTGTATTGAGTATAATATGTTTTCAATTTACTATTTCTTTTCTGCAAACTTGTTGTCATCAATATTTGTTTACCAGATAAATTTGGATCTTCTCTTAATGCATGATAAATTGATTCTTTCCATTTTAATAAATAATTAGATATCATTATTTCTAGAGAGAGGTAGCTTAGATTAGTACTTCTCAAAGGATGTTAATGGATCCACTTTTTAAAATTTCTCAACTCTCCCAATCAATACATTATGAAATATAATAGAAGTGAAATATCTGAAAAATATAAAATAAACAAATATAAAATATTAGATTCAATAGACATAAAATTACTATAAATGTACTATAAACATTTCTAAATGTTTTCTCTGTTTGTATTTATTCTGTTGCAGACCCATAGCAAACAGTTCATAGAACATCACTGTTCCCTGGACCAGGATTTGAGAAATACTAGTTTCAACTGAATACACATTTTGAAAAACAAATAAACAAATAAAATTGAATCTGGTACAATGATATGTAGCAATAAAAACAAAATAGATAAGAAGCAAGAAATGAATAAGTATGAATAAGTTTCAAAAATCTATACTCTCATAAATCTTTTTGGGTTCAGTCAGAGTTGGACTGGTACAGCAAGTGTACATAATTGATGGCAAACAAAGTGTATGTAACCATTCAGTCATTCAAATATCCAATTTATTTAGTACCTACTATGTGCCAGGATCTGTTCTAGGCCATGGGAATATAGCAGTGAATGAGAGCTACAAAGCCCTGAGTTTTCTTTCTGGTGGAGAGATATAATAAACAAGCAGGAAAATATTAGATGAGTTCTATGATGAAAACAAAATGGGCTGATATGATAGAAGCCTATCTGTGTATAGAGTGCAAAGAAACCCCCTAAGAGGATAACATTTAAACTGAGGCTTGAATGACTGAAAATGACCAAAGCTGTGTAGACAAACTCACTGCTATGAGTCACTCATAGTGACCCTATAGAATAGAGTAGAATTGCTTATAGGATTTCTAAGGTTGTAAATTTTTACAGAAGCAGACTGCCTCATCTTTCTCCCATGGAGTGACTGGTGGGTTCAAATGTATCTTTTGGGTAATAGCTGAATGCTATCAGATTTGTGCTATCAGAGCTCCCTTTGAATGACTAGAAAGAAGAAAAAGACCCAGAGAGCATATGCCAGGCACACCATAAGGTAGAAATGAGCTGGAAGAGGTTCAAGAATAGAAAAGCCAGTAAGGCAGTAGCTTGGTTAGTTGAAAAGAAGATTGGGAGGAGATGAAGTCTAAGAGAGGCACAGCACTAAACCTTATTGGCCAAGGTAAAGTGCTCAGAGTTTATTCTCAATATTATAGCAAACCAGCAAGGAGTTTTAAGCAGAGTAGAGATATAATATGTTGTATATTCTTAAAATATTACCCTGGAACCCTGGTTGCTGTGTAAATAATGAATTTTAGGGAATCAAAGAGGAAGCTGAGAGAGAGGCAAGAGATAATGTTGAGTTCATTATACAAGATAATGTTGAGTTCATTATACTAGTGGTAGCAATGGAGAGATACGAACAGAACATGTGAGGTTTTTTTCTTTTAAAAAAAAAATCAAAATGTTTTTAATTCCAAAGCATAATGTCATCTGTACTACATATATATATAGAGAGAGACAGAGTAGAGCTTTCAAGACCTTCCTTGCTGATGTGACAAGACTCAAAATGAGAACAAACAGCTGTAAACATACATTAATAATTGGAACATGGAATGTATGAGGTATGAATCTAGGAAAATTGGAAGTTGTCAAAAATGAAATGGAATGCATAAACATTGATATGCTAGGCATTAGTGAGCTGGTTTTGGTCATTTTAAATGAGCCAGCCATATGCTCTACTATGCTGGAAATGACAAATTGAAGAAGAATGGCGTGGCATTCATTGTCACAAAAAATGTGTCAAAATTTATCCTGAAGTACAGTGCTGTCAGTTGTAGGATAAAATTCATATGACTACAAGGAAGGCCAGTTAATACTATTATTATTCAAATTTACATACCAACCACCAAAGTAAAAGATGAGGAAATTGAAGATTTTTACTAGCTTCTGCCATCTGAAATTGACCAAACATGCAATCAAGGTGTGCTGATTATCACTGGTGATTGGAATGCAAAAGCTGGAAACAAAGAAGAATCATTGGTAGTTGGAAAATTTGGCTTTGGAGATGGAAATAACACTGGACATCACATGATAGAATTTTGCAGGACCAACAACACATTCATTGTAAATACCTTTTTTCAATAACCCAAACAGCAGCTATATATGTGGACTTTGCCAGATGGAGTACACAGGAATCAGACTGACTACATCTATGGCAAGAGGTGATGTAGAAGCTCAATATCTTCAGCCAAAACAAGGCCAGGAGCTGATTATGGAGCAGACCATCAATTGCTCATTCATATGCAAAGTTCAAGTTGAAGCTGAAAACAATTAAAAAAATCCACAAGAGAGTGCATGTGCACTACTGTATGGAAAATGAATTTGCTTTGTGAACTTTCACCCAAATCACAATAAAAATTAAAAAAAAAATGAGTCCATTAGAGCCAAAATATGACCTTGAATATATCCCTCCTGAATTTAGAGACCATCTAAAGAATAGATTTGATGCACTGAACACTAATGACCAAAAACCAGAGGAATTGTGGGATGACATCAAGAACATCATCCATTAAGAAAGCAAAAGTCATTGAAAAGACAGGAAAGGAAAAAAAGACCAAAGTGGATATCAGAAGAGATTCTGAAACTTGCCTTTGAATGGAGAGTAGCCAAAGCAAATGGGAGAAATGACAAGATAAAAGAACTGAACAGAAGATTTCAAAGAGCAACTCGAGAAGACAGGGTCAATTATTATAATGAAATGTGCAAAGACCTGGAGTTAGAAATCCAAAAGGGAAGAACACGCTCAGCATTTCTCAAGCTGAAAGAACTGAAGAGTAAATTTAAGCTTCGAGTTGCAATGGAAGGAATACACAAAGTCACTGTACCAAAAAGAATTAGTTACTGTTCATCCATGTCAGGAGGTGGTATATGATTGAGAACCACTGGTATTGAAGGAAGAAGTCAAAGCTGCACTGAA